CTCAATTCGATTGTCAAGTTAATAACGTTTACATGAACAGACGGAGGATTTTACGATTTCGTGTAGAAGTCACACCGGAATTAATCTTACCACGCGTGAATCCGTCCGAATAAAAATTCTTCTGACTTGTGAGACCGCTTATTATTTACGTCATCTGTGAAACGACATTGAGACTCGATTATTTCTTTTCGCCGCAATCTCGCCGCTTCTCCCTTTTTCTTTCTTTTTCGCTCTTTTTAATTCTCTTTAATAATTCTCTTTAAGAATCGCCAGTAGATTCGCGCGGCTGAAAATTCACATCGGGTAATTAGAGATGAACGAAGCGCAAAGCGGAACTTAATCGTGCGCATTCGCGGCGTTGGGACCCATTGAACAGCCAGCGCATGCATACCTGGAAACGGTTCGTCCTCACCGGTTATGGATAACCGGCCCTTCTACCTCGCGGTCGCGATCGTAAAGTTGCAAGCCAGCACTTTAAAATGTCCACAATCAGAGCAGGAAGCAGTATTCGTTTCGATTACCTACCTTCTCTTTTTCTCGGGCAAACGAGAAGTTCTAGAATTCGATTACGCTCTCAATCATTCGATCGATGGTACAGGTGATCGTTCTAAATGTTACGGATGACAGGAATATTCCTGAGAAGACAGATCAAAAATGAAATATGAGATATCGAAGACGAGAGACTTTCAAACCTGCAAAACGCATATTTTTTTCTCATCTTAACGCGTCAAAACTAAGAATAATAGAAGAAGAAGAAACTTCGTAATCGTCGGTGAATTCACGTGCAGGATAAGAAAAGGTGAATGGCAGTCACGGCTATTAGCGCTCATCTCGATCGAGCGCGCGATTTCTCGCGAATCGCCACGCGATGCTGGAAGTACGCGATAATAAATAATTACGTCGACTCCAAGAAATTAATCGCTTCGAAAGCCGCGATAATTATCGCGGCGTGACATGCCAGGGCTTTTATTGTCAGATCGGCGGCTCTCGCCGACTGTTCGATATCGGTGTGTCACGTTCGTGCGACGATCTAATGGATTACTCGACGAGGACGCCCGTCTCACGCAATTGATCAAGATATTATCGTATCATTGTTGCGCATCTGATGTGCTCGAAACGGGAGACGTGATATATGAAGCGCGAACCGATTGTCTGGCCTTATGCTCTGACGCAAGAGTGAAAGCCCGCTTATGGGAGACGCGTGATTAATAACGCGCGTTCGCGCACGCGGTTCGAAAAATCGAACACCAAGCGAAGAAACGCATCCGATCGCGAACCATCAAGCCGCAATAGCTCTTAATCACCGTAAACACTGCCCGCCGCGCGATATAAATTATTCCGCGATAGCTAATCATTGATACGCGCGAGCAACGATTCGGCTAATTTAGCGATTATCCACGCTGCAACGGAGAGCGATGATATTTCGCTCCCTCGATGTGGCTTTCATTGTCTTCCGTATAACGGAAAGATCGTCGCGTGCCGTTTACGTGGAAATATCATGCATGGTTGCGTCCCATTCATTTTATTTTATATATAAAAATGCTATAAATATTATATGCCTTTATTCATTATTATTATTATTATTCTATCTATGTTCTTGGTCCATACTGAAAGATTATTTTTTGTGCATCATAATCCACGAAAAGAAATTCATACGGGACATTGAACCAAGTCGAAAGAGCAACATGCGTGCATGTGTTGAGACTTGTAGCAGTAAAATCTCACTCTGCAGGTCGAGAAGCGATTAGGCGCGCACGGACGACTCGATTGTGCGAAGAAAATATCTTTTTTTTTTTCTCTTACATATCGCGTGTTTTCGTGTCATGGATCAGCGTTTATTCGGCGGTGATTCACGAGCCGGTTTGTCCTCTCATCGTCATTTCACGAATACGTTATCCCTTTTCACACTTTTTCTTATCTTTATAAAAAATAAATTTCTCCTAATGTCTCTTTGCAGATGCTGAATTTTTGCAACGTTTTTAAAATTTTACTGTGTCAAACGTAAACCGCTTACTCATAGTTGGAAACCTTCTTATTATTTTACTACGAAAATCTATATATGTAACATAATTTATGTCGTTATATTCCGCGCTCTTTTGCATTTATATTATACGCATAATTTATACGTATAATTCTATTCGAAATACACCGAGGACCGACGAGTTCTTAAAACGGCCCTGCCGATGATCGGTGGTAGCTTCAACTTTCCATTTCTGGCATATCGCGATCCGTGCCAGCGCATGCAATTTCATCGAATCTCTCGTAACTTTCCGCGAGATAAGGGGAAAACAGTTTTATATACGAGCTGAACCATATCATACGGTTTCTCAGAGTGCATCTTCTTTCCACCTAAGTTTATCCTCCATTCCGGTTTTCTCTCCGTCAGGCGATTTTGTCGCCTGACTTTTCTCGGCGCGAACATAAACACGCGCTAAGTAACGTTCTCGCGGGATATTAGCCTTTTTTTTTACTCGTCCGGACCTATTAAGGGATCGCTAAGGTCTCATTAAGCCGCGGACCACGGCCGACAGCGGCGTCTTTAGCGCCGACGACATTCCCGAAGTTTTTGCAAGGATATCCGCGAATGTCCGCCTCCGCCTGAATATTCCGAGTTTTATGCGCGAGCTGCGTTTCCACGCGCATGAGAAGAGTCATTTTACGACACGCTCGAGCGTTAAGGCTCTTGATTCGTTATGCGGCCATATCGTATCAATTTCCAGAAATTTATTAATTTCTTGATTTAATAAAAATTTCCTACACTAATTTCTCGACTTCATAGGATTTTGCTAAACTTTGGCGTAATTTCTAGGAATTTGTTAGTTTCTTATCTTAATATTAGTTAATCATTGCAAATGAGAATCTAAAAGAAAAGCTTTAACGAAGTATAATCCGGACAATTTCGAACTTGTAGAATTTTATAATGTAAAGAGAGAAAATTTCAGACATTTTTTTTTATATTTTCCAATTTAGCTCTCCTTTCACGCTCAAAGTGTGTCATTAATTTCCGCGCGAACGCTCGACTACATTTCGAAAGTGAAAGACGATGCTTCCGCTCTCGTTTTGTTGTTATCTAAAAAAAATATATCGCCATTTACTTCCCGTGCTAGCTATCATAACGACAAGAATATCCTTTCATCGTTTGTCCTAGTGTTCTGCGGCGAGTTCATCCAAATTAATATATTCTTTGTCTGTGTGTGTTCTTTGTCACACAATTTATCACATATTATGTTTATCTTAAAATTACTCCAAAACTAACAACTTTGAAGGATCCGAGTTTTCTCTGAAATTAGCAAAGATTTTTTTCAAGAACGCAAGTTCTGAGAGCGAGTTTTCTATTAGTCCCCAATAAATTTCATCAAGCAACTCAGAAGACCGATGAATTTGGATGAGGTCAAGCTTACGTGGTTGACATATCTCGTGACTGCCCAAAGCATCGGCGGTCCACCGGATTAATGGGAAAATGGAGAGTCATACTCTGCCTCACCTGAGAGAGGACCACAGGACCGTGGATACAAGGCGAAGGAGTCGGTGACGGTACGAAAGAGGACGAAAAGGGGGGACGACACGCAGTAAGAGGAAGGAGGAGGGGTGGAGAGAGGGTACATCGAGGAAGGGGACAGCTCGCGGACGGCAGGAAGCGAGGGGGATACCGGCGGGATAGGGACGGGAGAGCGGGAGGAACACGCTCTCTCCTCTGGTACACACTCTCGTGGTGACTCCGACCGGCAAAGTGCTCGCGTTCGTGAAAGTCCACAGACGACTTTCAGGGTCGTCTGCTCCGCGCGCTCGTCGTCGTTCTGTCCCGAAGCCGGCTGGCTTCTCGCCGAGAAAGAGCCACCTCGAGAAAAGAGGTGGCCGACGCTCCTCTCGCACTCCTACGAGTTTCGGCGAGGCGTGAGGATCCGCGACGATCATCTTTTACTTCTCTCTCGAAGAAGTATTAAAGAAGAAAGGAGAGGGGGAGAGAGAGGGTTCGAGACGTTACGAGATGATCGTGAAATTCAGAAGTTGTGTTTTTGCGTGACGAGACATCGTCGATAGCAAGGATTCAGCCGATGCGCGATCTGTCATCCAGTTGCGATTCTCATCCATGTTGTGTTTATTTATCTTGACGTGACGCTCTGATTACAGTGATCCGAAAAACATCGAATTGATCGTTGCAGAAATCGCAAAAATCTGTATAAATCGCTTCTATTCGGATGAGAGAGCGATTGGTTTTTAGATCTTTGAAGGATCTATGCGATTAATCGATACAGTTAGCTCGATCATTTCATTAGCCAGGAAAAAAATTGATCAGTGACTCATTTTTGTATCATTTCTAAACTTAAATCTATTAAAACATATCTCTTGCATTAGAACACTTGCTCATTTTCTTCGGCTAAAAAAATCTTCCTGCCTGTGTGTAAGAAGTTTGGTGAAAAGATATACTTTAAGATGATGCAATATTTTATGTTCTCGATTGATCCAGAGATGCTTCTCCAGTGTTGATTTTTTAGAAATCCCAGTGAAATTTTTAAACAGTTCAGTGCTCGTGTACCGACGACGATCGCGAGTTACAAATACATATGCACGGTGGATGACGGAGGATCAGGGATCGATCGGGATCGACGGTAGCCGGTGGGCTGGTTCGATATATGCGAATAATAATAGGTTGGTGCTCGTACACTTAACCGTGCGTGTCTCAGCTCTCCTACGTTCCTCTTTCAAGCCTGAAGATATCGTATCACGAGAAGAAGTAACGCTATCGTTCTCGTCAAAGAGAAGAATGAATTGAATTTTACATAAATTTTTTTTCAACAAAAAAAAAAACTACATTATTTACGCGAAATTGTATACACACTTTTATATACCTTTTATTTGCTGACATCAATTGCTGCATAAAAATCAATATATAAAAAATTACTCGCATATATATACTGTATATATAATACATACTCACGAGCAATACATTTCGGCGAGATAAAACAATCTTTGTCTTCAAAATTCCGTTCCTCGCAAAGATGACGTCCCGCCTGCGCGGTCCTTCGGCGGTAAAGGACACGCCAAGGACTGCCTCGTTCGCCAAGGACGATTTCCATCGTCCGAACCGAAGCGAACCGGAAGCGCACTCCGGCCGGTCGTGCAAGAATGGCGGGCGCGGCAACCGTTATCACTTCGGTATGTCGAAACAGCACGACAGCAAGACGGAACGGAACGGACGGGAATACAAGGAAGAGATGGAAGACAACAACGTCGACTTGTTGTACAAAAAGAGCAAAGAACATTTTGGATCCTGGGACATCAAGGACGACGCGAGAAGATCAAGAAGACAGGATCTCGAGGACGCACAAGTGACGAATGGAAAGTTCAGAAGAGACAGTTCAGAACCCGTGAGTGCGAAATTCTTGGATAAAACTCAAGATCGTTTGGAGTACCGGGACGAAGGATACGTAGGATCTTTGCCAAGGGAGAATCGACAGAAAGGCGAGAGCGTCGAGCGAGAACTCAATGGCTCTCATAGATCGAGGAGGAAAGAATACTGGGAGGAAAGCGTGGAGGCGAAGAATCGAGGGAAGATGTGCAAGATTAGCAGAAACAACGATAGCAATAATGACACCACGCAGCCCGTCGACGAGAGGGATATCCTGCTTAAGGAGATCGAGAGTTTAGCCACTGATGGTAGTCAATCGCCGGATCGTAGGATCCAGGCGATGATCGAGCGATTGAAATCGCGAGAGGAGAACAAATTGCGGTCCAGAAGAGAGCAGAGATCTGAAGTAAGTCCCGATAAGGAAGCGAACGATAGGGCGAAAAGCGGCAGCAAAAGTGATGCACGATCGCCGATCATCGATCATTCGCCCGATAATCGATCTAAAGATCGAAATAGGAAGCTGAAGGATGATCGCGAAGACGAACGCAGATCGAGCGAATATAAGCTACGTGGAAAATCCGATCGAGAGGAGGACTCGGGCCGATGCGATCGATCGATTGATCGAAGATCGAAGAGCATCGAGAGGCAGAATGAAGATCGCGAGCCTCGAGGAGATGATACTTTCCGAAAAAGAAGCGATACTTATAATACCGAAAGAAATTATCGTAGGAAATCGAAAGAAGACGATGAAGCTCGATCGAGAGATAGTTCGAAGAGAAGAAGTTACACGTACGAAGGTTCGCCGGAGGACTTTGACGTAAGGATACAGAGATACGACCGAGCTCTCCTTGAGCCACGAAGGGACCTGGACAGAAGTTCCTCCAGACGAAGTTCGCCCAGGGGCTCGAGTCTAGTTAGGAAGGAATCTTTGAAGGAATTCGATCAAGAGCCGATAGTCAAGAAGAATTCTTTTAGAACGGAATCCAGGAGAGCGAGCAAGGATTGCGGCGAGTCTAGCTTAACTAGAAAAACATCGTTTAAGGATCAAGATAATGATATATACAAAAATCACATTTCAAATAGTCAACACGACACTTCTATCAGATACTTCGGCAAGGATCAAGAAGATTTATCTCATAAAAATTCCTTCAAAGACAAAAATATAGATGTAGATAGAAAAGGTATCTACAAAGTACAAGAGTTTGGCAGAACTTTTCTAAAAAATCAGCACGATAGTACGGAGAGAAAAATCTCTTCCAAAGAACACACAAGTGGCGTCAGTAGAATTATCCTCAGGAATTTTGATGATGATTCGAACAGGAACAATTCGTTTCAAAATACGAGCGAGGATTCTGAGAAGAAGAACGTATTGAAGGAAAAAAGCGTTGAGTTTGGCAAGATCTCTTACAAGGATGGCGAGAACCACTCAGAGAGAAAGAAGAATAGTTTCAAGGATGACGACGAGGAATTTGGGCAAACATCTTATCACGATTACGAGAACAATATCGATAGGAAAACCGCAAACGATCGCTACATCGAATTCGGCAAAATATCCTTCAAGACAGAAGATGACGAGTTATGCTCTCCAAATTCTTTCAAGGAAGAAGATAATGAAGCAGTCGTTCAAACGAGTTCTTTCAAGGAACGCGACGCTTCCTCGAAGAGACGTGCGTCTTTGAGGAACAGAGGTCGCGAGGCGTTTGAAAGAAAATCAGAGAGACACTCAAAACCGTTGACACCACCAAAGAAGGACGATCCGGAGGACAACGCCAAGGAATTAAAGAATTTTTCCCCCAAATCCTGGTACGAGAACAACCGGATGTTTTCCGCCAGATATCTACGAAACCACAGTAAGCTGCGAAGCGCTCCGGAAGGGCGGCTCGATGTCGACGTCTCGCCTGAGCGAGAATTTTCGAATCTGCAGAATACAAGGACCGCGATCGAGGCATCCGCGAACGATCCTGAAGAGGATCGCTTCGAGACCCGCGACAGAATCGATTCGGGCGACGGCGGATCCCCTCGAGTTTCCTCGTCTCGCGACCGTAACGGCGCCACGATTATCAGGATCCGATCGTCGGAGGATCCTGATAACGCAGCGGAGAGAGTTCGTCGCCGACGTCGTCCCGTCCAGGAGCTATGCGTGGCGAGGCGTAGGAGATACGATGACAATGACGAGGACAGCGACGAGGACGATGAGGAGGAGACTCGTTGGCGAAGGACACGAAGGGATGGCGGAATCTTGCCGGGGAGAGACGGCGGCGATGCCAACAGCACGACACCCTCGAGAACGATCTGGAACTATCGCGAAGGGGTATGGCACTTTCATGAGTCAATTGCGTTCGATCGGTCCTTTATGGTTCAGAGGCGCGAGGCAATTTTCATAAATCGCTGGAGGAGATGAGAAAGAGAGAGAGAGAGAGAAAGAGAAAGAGAAAGATAGATGGCAGTGGTTGAATTGAAAACGATAAACACCGCGAACGCCGTTTATTATCGAGGATAATTCCCGTGAAAGAAAGAGAATTCGGCTCTCTCATTCTTTCAAACTCCGCCGCAGGAACAATCGAAGCGATAGTCAAGGCGATTGTGTCCATTTTCCGCCGTTTTTGATATTCGATTCGAGCGAATTTGTTTCAAGTTTGTGTGAAGATATAAATTGTGTGACGTCACATGTGATCGCTGCGAGAGTCATAATTCTCGTTTTGCCTTTATCTTGTATGTATAGGAAATGCATTAGTGATTGATCGGTTAAGGGATGACAGGAGTGACTTAAAACATATAATAAAAAATGTAAAAATTATGAAATTAATAATTACTAACTTCTTTATAATTTACAACCGGGAAATAAAATATTGATATATTTTGGTGCATAAATATTGGAAAGAAAATAAGCAATATCAATTTTAATGAAATCTTATATATTTAGCGTATAAATTTGCATTCAAGTGATATGAGAAACATAGGAAATATTCAAAAAATATTGAGATATATAATTAATCTCTCTCATTATCTTAAATAAATAGATTATGAAAATTACTTAATATTACATATATTACTATTAGTTCTTAATAGCTAATAAGCATAATTATGATAGAAATTACCATTTAATACTTGGGTATTATATACAGAATTTTAAGCGTGCAAGTATTGTGAGAGTAAAAAAGAGAGAAAGGTTTATTTTTTATTTATAATTATATATAATTAGAAATTATAATCCTTTCATTTTTAAAGAATACAGATATAGTGCTTCAATCGATTGTCACAGAAGTAAGAATAAAAAATTCAGTAGTTATTTATCGGTGATAGTTATTGTATCTAGTATCGATCTTCTCGAGAGGAGAAAATATTCAATTGTTTGTGCAGCATCATTGAAGCGATAATATATACGTTGAACTGGTTTGGTCGCAGTATTGCGGTTCGTACGCATCTCGTCTGCTTGTTTATCGACGATTTTCCGCGATCGTTGGCGAACGAGGATCGGCATTGTTACGTCTCGATCGAGTACGAGCGATCGAGTCGCCATGGAAACTTTGCGCAATATTGCACGGCCTCGTGCACTAAAATTGCAATTTGCCTGGAATCTGGCGATGGCCGTTTTACGGTTGAGAGAGCGCGATACCTTAAAATTAAGTGGCTTTGATTGGAGATGATAAGTTTCGTAATTTGCGTGAATATATAAACGCAACAGCAAATTGTACACAGCGGAATTTTATTAAAATTCTCCTAAATCGATCTCTTCAATTTTATTCTCCAACCCTTGCAACGCGTTACATTTCACTTTGCATTCTTCTATACGACGCAAAATTATTTAAAAAACACTCATAAACTATAAATTCTACAAATATAGCATAAAATACAGCGCTTTATGTTAATTTTATTTACTTTTCGCGTGTTTTTATTTTCACTTCTTTCAATATTTTTATCTGCTTTTTTACAAGTGTTATTAATTCAATTTTTTATTTATTTTTAATCTAATATTGTTTTAATTTTAATTTTTGTTTTATTTTGTTTTGTTAAATTGCGAACACGTGCCATACGATTTGTAAACAATGATCTTCTTTCAAGATTATACAGGATAAATTGAACAGTATATAGACTGAATATAACTTTATTGACGCTCGAACGGCATTCGAGTTTCTTAACAAAGTTCGTAATCATTTCGGACTCATCCAGAACAAGCAATTTATAATTTCCATTTATCATCCACGCCTATTTACGTCCACGGAGAACACAAATTACGCTTCACCGCGATTCAATCCGATTAAGTGAAAGCTAAATACCGGTAGCCCAACCGCCACCGTTGCTAATCCTTTAAATGGCAATGACGTAATGACTCGTCAGGACTTTAGTCGTAAAATTTCGCAAAATTAATTTTTCGTATCATACTATTGCATTATCAAGTAAATATATAGTAATTATAATATATATCAATAATTTAACACAAAAAGAAAAATCAATTATCATCAATATTATAATTTGTAAAGGACATAAATCGAAATCATTAAGATTTGAAAAGTAAGAAAAAACATTTCCTTATATTGTGATTTATGATAAACAAAATAAGAATTTCTTATTTATTTAAAATTCATATAAATAGTTGAAAGAGATATATTAAATTTATTCAGCTATGACTGTGAGGAAATTGAAGTAGTCGATTCGGTTACGTAATTCGATTTCGTTTCGTGAAGCAAACCGAACGATTTTCCAACGACGAGGAGTACTTATCAATTTGTCGTCGGGCTTGACGCGTGCACAGGTTTTCAACGGACTTTCGCAATCGCCTTGTCTATTGGCCAACGCGTCATGCAAATGTCAGCGAACCGCCTACGAGCTGAATGGCCAGTATCGCGCGTAGGACACGTCGTTACGGATAACATCTCTCCTTAAACGAGTCACCGCGTTAAAAACGCGGTCTTTGTCCGCGGGATAATCGAGTGATTGGCTCGTTAAGAGGAAAGATATAGATGTTTTTAGACCCGTTCTAATCAATCTTCTAAGAATGGCATGAATTTATGAATTTATAGATATTAATTATTGATTAAAAATATATAATATATATAATATATAGTCATCTTAACTATATATATATATATACATATTTTTAAATTTGGGATATTCCGGATATTAAATTAATCAGAATCTGAAATACGATATATTACTTTTAGAAGATGCAATATAGCAAAAATTAATTTTGCATATTTTCTATTTTTATCCATCCTGTTAAAGACGAAGATTAATGCAATCGTTTAGTCGATACGAAAATTCTAAATGCAACGCAAACATGCCGGCGTCTTAACGGCGGCTGCGATCTGTTAAAATAGTGATCAAGCGAGAGCTACAGCTGTTGAATCAAATCAAACTGCATTCTCTCGCTACAATTCTGCATCATTCATTTCCAACCGCAAATGATTAGAATAATTTTTCATGACATCTGCGGTATGTTAATTTTAACAAGTAATCTGTCTTCTTGAGCAACACTTGTAATCAAAAGCGTCGTTTCATCATTTCAAGAGTTACTTTTGCGCATAAACTGGATGAAAGGGCTTTTAATGCGCAGAAGAATAATTAATCAGAATCGCATGTGAAACGTAAAAGGAAGCTGCAACTTTCGAAATTTTCAACATAAAATTACATTGATTGTAATAGTTAAAAATAATCAGGTTTTTAGCCATCTCACTGTTCATTTTCAAACACACTTTATATGTCGCTAGCATCTCCAAAGGATTTGTATAAAACAATCTTCAAACTAACATACTTGACATCGAAATCTTTCTTTTATAGACTCGAAATAATTAAACACTCATTTCTCTTGTCTTTATATCGCCGTGCGTCTGTATATTTTTACACGATCCGCCTTGACATCGCGAGGAAAAGAGACCCTTCACCGCGAGATGAGTCAGGGGGAAAAATATGTTAATAAGACAACGAAGCTCGCGCGCGCGGCTGCGGGCATCGTTATTCGGGATTGCTATATATAGGCAGATCTAGAGATAGATTGGCAGTGATCGGCACATTTTTCAACGCGCGTCTATTCGATATTTGGCGATGATGCCGGCAACGAGGGGCTCACGTGGGCGGACCGACCATATATGCCGGCCGAAAGGTTCTTGAACGCATCCAACGCGCCTCGAGCTTTCTTTCTATTTAGCGCGGCACAGCTTCCTTTTCTCCTCTCCGCTTGCAGACAAACCGGTGACTGTAGAACGAGAGATTGGGATCGTTCGTAGGACCCGGCTGGCGCAAACAGTATACAGACATACGGCGGTTCTTTTAATAGTAATGATCTCGCGACTCGATCTCTCTTTAATTAATTAACAGTCACATATTTCCTCAGAGAAATTATATATTTTCTACTGATTAAAAAATTTTTTATTTTAAATGTTTGATATCTTTTGCAAAGAAATAACAATTGCACGAAATATTTTCTTATAATAATGACATATGTAACTTTTCACAAATCTTCTATAATTAATCTTTATAATATTTTTTCTTTAACGTAATCAAAATTTGTATAAAAATCTATAAAATTTATTCCTTTATGATATAATATTATTGTATAATTATTCTACTTGCTTGTTTATTTCAGAGAGAGAGAGAGGAAAATTAAATAAAATTAAATAAAATGGAAAGAGAGAGAAAGAAATTTTTTTCGCTTGATTATATTACACATATGTGTATGTAGATATACCTATATTGGATGAGAGATTTTTTATACATATTATTTTTAAACGCGATTATTTCAATTATTCAATTGCTAACGTGTTTGTCAGATTCGTCGACGTATCGACGGAACGATTATTATTACAGACTATTATTAGTGACGTGTGCTCATTAGCGGTTCATCGTCCGTTCACGAACAAGATAAACATCGCGATGTATCGTGACATAACAAGGCTCGCTCAATTAAAAACTTTTCCCAATTATACGTGGCTGATCGTTTCGCCGGGACCTTGTCCCCGTTCGCACGTGCCAGCGAGCGTCATGTAGGTATGTACGAAACGTCGATATACTTGTTCGTCGTTCCTCTTCGCCAGGAAGAAAAAAAATTTGCGAATTACAATGTCACTGAAGTGTTAATATCTCGCTTTTGACACTCAATATTTGTCGCGCCAATATTTTCCTTTAAAATTAGATATTAGCATAGGATTGCTTTAGCTATCAATAATTCGTGTGTGAAAAAAAGAAGGAAAAAAAAATCATAATACTCCAAACTAAACAATCCTGGAATATCTTTCTTTTTTTCTTTTTTACATGTTTTAAATGTATTATTGCAATGATATTCTTTCATTTAATGTATTTAATACGATTTTATTTGCGTCAATTCGTTGGTATTTTATCGGTATTTGCATAATATGTTTTAATGTTCTGGTTGAAAAATCAAATGTTGCATATAAATGCAACTTGACCTATGCTGAAGATAATTTAAGTTTTTATCATTAACTAGTCTTAACTAGACTAATTTTAGGTAATTCTCGCGCACGTTTATTATCATCTAGTCGATATAATTTCCTATAGATTGTCTGCCTTCTGTAAATTAAGAATATTAAAATAACATTTTAAGCTATTCTATCTGGATGATCGAAACTAATGATCTTAGAAACTATTGTATTTTTCGACACGCTTAATTGACGAAGACTAAAAGATCAAAAAACATGACATAAAAGAATCATAAAGAATTATTCGAATTAAATGTATTATTTTATTATTAAGTTTATTTATAGTTTATTATTTATAATTGATAATTTAAACTAACATTTACTTGCTTTCCAGGGCGCTCTCATCACAGACGTAGAAGAAGGCCAACCTTGTTTGCAGTGCGGAGAAAGATGTCTCGGATTTTCACCGCACATTTGGAGGTGAGTTTTTTTTTAACGAAATAAAAATATCAAGACAAAAATAAAGTGAAAGGTTGAAACTATAACATAATTTAGTACAATGTTAAAAAATTTACTTAAAAATCATTTGTCGCGTTTTCGTACATAAACGTAAAAACCAATTTGGCCTCTACTTCCTCAACGTCAAAATATGCAATCATCAAGATTGTACTACATCAAACGGAAATAAAGCTTCTGCGATAAGACATTCCGACGTTATCATGAAAGTACATATATAATTGTATTATCCGCGGGAGCGGTGGATAGACAGAAACAAAGTTGAAAATTGGCGTGGATCGGATCGTGAAATCGGATTGCCGAATCGTGCTGAAATTGTTAGGCTTCGGAGACTGTATCCATTACCCCGGCAGCGTAACTCAGCAGCGGTGAAATTACCGCTTGGTAATTACCCTCCGTGACTTACGGCCCAGCAATGCGGTAATAGCGAATTAATTGCCCGGGGGGGCTTCGGAGGACGGAGGCGAGGCCGCCTTCCAGCATCTCTTTGCTGCAAGGAGAAAGGCGGGCCCGCGTCGCGTCATGTAGTGCATTTATGGCATGGAGATGGATTCACAGTTATATTCCGCCTAAGGAGATAGCATGGGGATCTTGCGCCAGAACGATTGTAATTGGGAAATAATTGGGAAAAATGCAGACACTCGTGAAAAATAATTATACATCTTCTATTATCACACACATATTTTTTTTTTATATTATGAGCATTGTCATTTTTTTAAATTATGAGCAATAATCAATCGCTTTCAAATTTCTTAGAAAATAAACATTTTACACAAAGATTATAATCGTTTATTGCGCGTTAAGTGCATTTAAATATTGCAGAAAATTATTGTTCGGAATTTAATAAAAAAAAAGTGGTTATTCCTTCGCGGAAGGTACGAACGGGAGGAGAACAAGATTAATACAATTAAATGTTTGGCATTGAAGATAAAAATTTATGCTAAAATATAAATTCTATTTTATGACTAAAAAATTATAAGGAACTTTCTTTAGTACTTTAATACTTAGTATTCTCTTTAGTACTTGACATGAGATTCTAAGAATTTATAATCAGGATTGTTTATTACGGAAATGAATGTCACTCGAAGTGGAAAAAGAACGAATACACGCGTCTGGCCGAGAACATAAAATCGATGACGAATCGTTATCGCTGTATCCTCGACACGTCGCTTCCAATGTTTGTTGGAAATTAGTCTCGTTAGGTGAGAAAAGAAACAACAGACCCCGAATATAAGCGAGAAACATGAGCGCGATTATCTCCAGAGTCGTAATACGACGAAATGCGCGTTGTAAAAATAAATCGTTGACATTTACGGGTGGCGTCGTACTCTTTCGGAGACGTCTATCTTCCTTCGCGTTTTGGCCTCGAATGATTAATATAACTGCCGATCGCTGTTAACTTATTGTTAGAGTAAGCAACCATCTGCATGAATCCCTGGCTCTTACAAACCGTTCATGATTATTTTCTCCGGTAAAATCGGTGCGATTCAAACTTCAAATCCTTGCATCTCGAAGATTGCATTATATAAGTATAGGATAGACGCACTTATATAAATAATTGAAAAATATTGTTGAACAAAATTCAACTTCTTGTTAAGTAAAAAATTATCATTGTTTTATATATATAAATAAAACAAAAAAAAATGATACTTTTACTTACAGCGATATAAATAAATAAATAAATAAAATATATATTTATTTATTTATTTCTTAGATATCAAAGTTTAAATTTTCCGGATCTTATCAATTACATAAAAAAAAAATCTATTTTTTAGAAGTTATTGTAAAGGAAATCATATATGATATATATTATCGTATTTATTGTATTTATTTTATAAAAGCAGAAAAGGTAAAAGCGTGCAATTATTGTTAACGATTCTTTTTTCTTTTTTTTCTACCTTTGCCATTCTGTTATCGGATGTTAGGGATCTAAAAATCTTTAGGGATATGTAAATGATTCACATCGTCGTTGCGTCCTAAAAAAAGTAACGGATTTTATGTCAACGGGTATCAAGAATAAAGTTATGGATCGACAGAATTCTTTGTATGTATCTTGAACTATCATTTATTATGTGGACATAAAAATTTTATTGTAATTTAATTACAAGTATCCTCTCTAGCGATCTGTATTTGCAACATAAAATTTAATTGATTTACGGTGGTTGTATCGATTCGAAATAAAGCTCCTACACAGATCTAGTATACGGCTCTGGTTCTGTGAGTTTTGAGTATCGATAATCGGCGCCTCGTCTCGAATATAACCATGAGCTGGTATTTATAGATTTATGGCGTATCAAGCTCGATCGAATGCAAATGCGGCAGCTAATTTCATGACTCTGTCAAGACGTCGTAACTTAAAATGCGTTCTAGTGCGCGAATATTTTATGCGTTATAAGAAAAGTCTTTATTAAAGCTAAACGCTTTCAAAAAAATTGATGTATTAATATAAATATTTTATAAAATATAATAAGTTGTGATGATATGACTTATTTACTTAAATTATTATTATATAACATATTATTACTTAAATTTATATCCATAGCGGTCAATGATTAGAAACGATAAACCTTAAAGACTTTTTCCAAATAAAATAATATTTTTTTCAAATTTCGTTTAAAAATTGCTATTGATATTTAATATAAATATGTTGATATTTGATATTAAATTGCTATTCATATTTAATATAAATATCTTGATATTTAATATAAAATTGCTATTTATATTTAATATAAATATGTTGATATTTAATATAAAATTGCTATTGATATCTAATATAAATATTTTCTAAGAAATATTTAAAAAATTATGATATATAACAGTGATAAGTATAGTCAGGTCTACATAATTCAGTAAAAAGATTTGGAATCGGTTCACGAATAGTAACTTTCGATTTCGAACGAAGGAAATTTTTATGCCACGGTTTTATTTTTTCAGTGTACGCTTCTTATTTGATGTATTTTTTTTTCTTGATTGAACGCGTAGCGAAATTTTAAACATATCTTTCACGCACCTATCAAGGAAATTTTTATGCCACGGTTTTATTTTTTCATTCGTGTACGCTTATTTGATGTATTTTTTTTTCTTGATTGAACGCGTAGCGAAATTTTAAACATATCTTTCACGCACCTATCTCTATTTTCGCCTTTCGCATCGCGTCAAAGGAACTTGGTGCCGAAAATTTCTCGGCTCGGTTTATTTCGAACTCTTTGCGCGCGATTGTCGGACGCAACGGGCAACTGACAGCGACCCGTGGTGCGGGCAATGGTGACGTGTTTCCTTTGAAAATTCGTAAATAATCATTCCTCAAAGTGATACAGTTTACATCGCTTATTTACAACGCGTACCTAAATTTACTCGTGGCTCCGATGGATTAGATGGATTACGCAGCGAGCGATGATCTCGGAACTATCTCGCGCTACTAATAAAAAGATGGTTAATGCCATCGGAAATGAGAAATCGGAGTACCTTCTTCATTTATGAACCGCAATATGTATGGTTTCCGGATCGTTTACTAGAAAGACGCGTACTACGCATCTCGTTTTGCTCGGCTCCAAAATATGCGCAAATATATACTTTTTCCTATACGAGCACCGCAATAGCGAAATCAAATATTGCAGTAATCTATGCAAATTTAGCCACTCACACACGCATACGTATATTAAAACGAAAAATCATTCGTCTATAAAAATAAAAGAGAACGATATATTTTTTTTAAAAATTGCCTTACGTATCACATTTATAAATTATATATTTTGCTTCAATACAAAAAAAAAAATTTCTTACGTAAGATATTAAGGTTGTTATTGCAATTACAACATTTTTAACGTGCGGAAATGATCTTAATAACTTTTATGTCATCTTGGCGTTACTATTGGAATAAACGATTCACACACAGCCATAGCATCTCGCAGTATGTCTCTATACTTTACGTAATAATTATACCATCTCGCAAACTGCGTGTACTATGCTCCTCGACATACATATATGTTTACCTCGCGCGCACATGTGCGTATATATGCGCCGTGATCCGCGCGAAACGCGACGGCGAACCGTGAGTCACTCTCGTGCGGGGCCACGGCTCGCTCTCGCTTGCATCCGCGGTTCCTCTCGGCGAGATCTCGGCGCGCACGTGCTCCGAGATACGGCGATATATGCGGCGGCGTCGGCGGCGGTCCCAGTGTAGGGCCAGTTGGCGGGCGCGTTGGCACACGACCGCGTTCCGGATTCGTATACTCTGGTATACGGATCGACGACACGCTTCCTCGGCACCTGTCGCGGAGCTGTCGCGACGCACCGCGAGATACTCCTCCTCCGCACCCGGCGTTCCGATCGCGCTTGCTCCAAATTCCCGCCCGATCGAGTCCGCCGTTCTCGGATCGGCCGGCTGGCTTTTGGCTGGCTTTTGCTTTCCGAAACTACGGTCGTCTGTCTTTTCGCGAGTGTGAACGATACGTGTCTCTCTCTCTCGACATGAACGATTCGTTTCGGTTCGATCGAAATTAGACGCGGCTTTGGAGTGAATAAAAAATCGAAATTTGATTTTACGGATTTGTGAAGTGAAAGACAATACACTAGAGTCCAACAATTATAATATATCGAAAGAGAATATTATGTGTAGTGATTCACGAGTGATTGTCAAACGATACGAGGTGTGCGGTGGATGTATATATTTTCTTATTTTGGATAACATAAAGAAAAAATTGTGTAAAGAAATGTGCAAAGTAATTCGCGTTTAGCGAGTGAGAGAAAGATAAATACTTATTATTGACATTGTTATTTCGATCGATAAGTGAAATATTTTCCAATAGAATGATAGTCGGTATTTGTGAAATTTTCATTCGTCTCTTATTAGATTTGATTTGTCATACACAATAGAGAATACAGAAAAAACTACAATAATCTAATTCGTGAATGTATAATAATCTTCTCATTGTATGTGTGTGTCTGTAGGTGCGTGTACGTAA